ATATATTTATATATATTTGCTATCATACATCAAAGTATATATGAATCCCATCATCTCTGTTATATTCTCTGCAGACATGGTCTGAAACAAAATCACCAACAGCTAAATCAAAAGCTTCCTGGTCACTGTAGGAAAGCCAAAGAGGATCTTTCCTCTTTTTTTTGTGTATTTCAGTACTAGTATTTTTTTAAATGTGTAAGGATTCTTCATAAACTAGAGGTCCATAGATCATTTAAAGCAGTCTTTATAAGCAAATTTACATACTTTGACATGCTTTTGTGAGGCAGTTAGTATCAAAATCCAATAGCATTTCTTACAGAACCATATGACTTTCTGCGATGCAGATACACATTTCATTTCTAAAAAGCCACAGTTCTTTTTCTACATCTGCTCACATCAAATCCCCAGGATTCATTCATAAAACTGCTGCTGTTCCAAATGCTGATGCTCTTATCCCTGCTGTGGATTAAGATGTACACCTACTCTGGTGACATCATTACATGGAAGATTGATATGTAGGAAAAAACCCTCCCCAAATCCACAGATAGTCTTTTCTATCTCTAGATCCTCATGATTCACATCACCCAATGGTGCAATTCGATGAAGACCAGTCTCTGTGCAGGCTAAGGGTCTTCTTCCATCAAAGGAATCTCTAGGGAAAAAAAAATGGAAACAGCATTGACTGCTGATTACAACTTCCCTTACACAGTTGCAGGACATTAGCATTAGCAATGCTACAAATGGACATTGCAAAAGCCTGAACAGGACATATTGGATCAACAATTCTAGACCCACTCTAACACTTAGATGAAAATTAACCTTCTAAAACTACTGAGATTTAATAAAACAAGTCAGGACCACAAAAACGTAATTGCAGACAACCTTTCCTACATTGATATTGAAGCTGCCTTTAGAGTAGGCAGGAACTTTTACTGGCATCATCGTAATTTCTCCCTCCTCCTCCTAGTTGTCCTCTTCCCCTTGTCAAACCATCAAAAGTTAGCCCCAACCCTATGGAGAAGGACTTCCTTTACTCAGACCTTCACCCACACTGAATTTAGGACTGGGCTTCAGCTTTTTGCCTAGTAACTGTGGAGAGCAGGATCAGAGCCACTCCTTCTAAATGTCTCCAAGGAAAGCTATTTAGTTTCCCTAACACTGAGCAGCACACCATACAGCTCCTTTAGAACTCAGTGAAATGGCATCAGTGTAAGCTCGTGTTCAGTTTGAATGCAGACAATACTATATGGCAATCTCCCTTGCCATAAATGGTCCTGTGGGTGCCTTGCACTGTGACTCCCATGGCCATGGCTTAACGTGTACATGCCTCAGATGAACAGCTGCTGTACACATGCACATGATAAGTTTGTTTAATAAACAAGCTAATTTTGGCTAAGTACGAAACCATGATTTGCTTTCCAGTTTAAGGAGAAAATCCTGTTCATTGCTGTGAAAGCTATGGCATGTGAGGATGTTGAGGAGCAGATGAACAAACCAACACAGGCAAGATGATGGTTGGCTTTGCTGCTACATACAAGTGCTTGCTGACATCCCTGTTGATAAGACTGCTGTTTTGGGGCCTGGACAGGAAGCTTCTGGCATGGGATTCAAATCCTTGCACCACAGCTAGCAAGGATATCACAGACACAAAGCTCTACGTCCAGGGAGTAGTACGGTTTATAAAACATCCAAATTAAGATGTGGACAAAACCATTAAGAAAGTATGAGCAAGTCAGCTGGGTTTATTCCTGCTCTGACAGTGCAAACAAATGATGGCTCCTGTTCACGGACTCACCTATTGCACCTATGCAAGACTTACCATCTGCAATATCAATCCTTGGACTCGTGGATGCAGCCTCCCCAGCAGTGCCATGGGATACATCAGTTCTATCTGAACGGGGAAGTGCTGCCACTTGGCATGCTGGGGACGGGTACAAGCTTTGGAGCAGTTCAGAGGAGTCTGACCTATTGTCACAGGTCTCAGATTCACTAGGCAGCGTGTCTGTAATCCTGGGGCCGGGGTAAGCAGGAGGGCTCTGGTCTTCTGTCTGCAAAACATGCCCCTGGTCTGCAGTAGCTGAGTATCCGGGTGCCAGAGCATTCAAGCCGCTGCTCACAGCTTCATCATAGGAAGGCAGCATGACAGGAACACCATCCACCACCACAAAGTCGGGGTCACCCATGGAGCTCTCCTGGTTGCCTCTACATCAAACACAGTCGAGTTATCACACAGAGCAGGAGCATGTCAGATGCACCTCGGAGCAACCGCTGAACTTAAGTAAACACAGCACTTTCTAGTCATGCAAAATGAAGCTACAGGGTCATTAACATTCACAGAGCTGTTTGCTTCACAGGGCTGCAAAGCTCTGCTCAGGTTGACAGTCAGGTGGCATCTGTTATAATTGGAGAAATGAAACCACTAATGTGAAGAACAATTCTGAGAAGGGAAGGAAAAGAATAGATTTCCAAGATGTCTGTCTTGGAAGAGATGAGAAGCACCATTTGCTGTGCTGTGCATGGTAGGTATCATGGATGTAAGATCACAAATGTAGTTCACCAGTCAAAAGTGTCTGAACCCCTCGAAAGGTGTGTGCCAGAGCACACAGCCCATGTAAACAGACACTGAGATCATTGCTACTGAATGACAGGGCTTTGGTGGCCAGATCTGTGGCCTCCTTCAGGTCTTACTTTCAAGGGATGAAGGCTTCCTTAACAGTACTAAGGTGGTTTCTTCTTTAAGCAAAACATTTCTATTAATTGGGAAGGTCTGTTAAACCCTAAGGTATTTGTTTAGTAGCCAGTTAAAATTCACAGGAGGGCATTGGTCCCAGGTACCTCTGGGACATGAAAACATTTGAAAAGGAGAGGACAGAAAGCCATTTCAATAAGCTAGAAAGTGCAAACTATAAAGCTATCTGTAGTGCAACCCACTGCCCCAAAGCGCTTCGGATATGTATATCTATATGTGTATGTATATGTACATGTATATGTATATGTATATGTATATGTATATGTATACGTATACGTATACGTATACGTATACGTATATGTATATGTATACTACTCCCTATATACTGCATATATGTACACATATATATATAAATTTACACATAATAATCTGTATACACATTATAATCTGTATACTTTTATGTACACATTTATTTAACATTAAGATAGTGAAGTCCTTTCCACTGCATTGGCATGTAGACATGTTTACTGACATTCAGCTTTTTCACCTCTCCTTTCTGCACATGGTAGAATAAAGACATGAGCAAAAGCAAGCACAGGAGAGAAGTCACACAGTCAAGGTCCGTAGCAAACTGAGCAGACTGAAAACTAGAAACCAGTCTAAACCCCAATAGAGTACTTCGCCTAAAATTCAGCATGCCTGCCTTTGTTCTTCCAGTTGTAAGGTGTTACTAATGCCCATCTACCTGTCTTATGAGGAGTGCTGTGAGAATCAATAACAAATGCTCATAGCTGCATGGTATTTGATAGGAATAAAGGAAGATGTAGGAGATGTTTATGAATAGTGATGAACGTTAATACTCATAAAGAGTAAAGCAAACTTTTAATATAAATTTGTCCTTAGAGAAAAAAAATAAATTATTTCTTAAAACTCACATTACAAAGTCTACAGTAGTTAAAAAATTAATTCCCCCAGCACCTGAAAATGAGTATTTAAAAATATTGTCAGCTATTTCTACTATGCAGAAGCAGCAATTCTCAGCAGCAGAGCTGTAATTACTCCCAAAGTGAATCTGGCAAACTTTGCCTTTTATCTCAGTTGCAGTGAAGACCACTGCGGGGTTTTTGGGGGTGCCCATCCACACCAGTGGTTCAGAGACTTCTGCTCACAGCAGAAGCAGGAGGTATCTGCCAGGCTCGTGAGCCACTCCATCTCCTCAGCAAGGAGTGCTGAATGTGAAAACCGAATCAAGGCCCTCAATCTTTAAAAGATAAAAGAAAACAGTACAAACCGTGGGAGGAAATGTGTCTTAAATTTGGTCTGGAACATCCTGGCTAAAATAACCAGTAGCAGTACTAATAAAACGCTGGTAGCAGTAAACGCCACTATTTTCCATGTAGTCAGGAGGGTCTCCTGTGTATTTGGCCAGGTTTGCTCTGTAACAAAAAGGCAATACAAAACTTGTGCTTCATTATTATCATTGTTATTGTGTATTACTACTTCAACAGTACTCAGAAGTGCCAGTTACGAAAAGACATCTCTTGTACATAAAACACATGAACCCAATGCTCTATACCAAAACCAACCTTAACATTAAGCTGCCACAGGGGCTGGACCTTGTTTTTCCCCCTTGACTTCTTTTTATACATGCAATCATGACTTTAACTTATATACATACAAAAATATTAGGAGATGTTAAAAAATACATCTGAAGAGCTAACGATTGAAATGGTTCAGTACCATTCAGGATCTTGGAAATGTACTGAATTTAACAGCCTCTTAAAATTATGTTCATCACTTAACCATGAAGCAGATGAAGTTCACCAGGCATTACAGACCAACAGATTTACTCTAAAAAATAGGGACAGGAGTAATGCCGTTGCTGCTCCCTTACCTGTTTTGACACAGTATACTTGGTAGGAGGGGAACCACTCTCCATACTGGCAGGTGATGTACTTGTAGTCATTGGTGAGGGTGTAACCAGGATCACAGTAAAACTCCACCACCGTCCCGTGGTTGTAACGCTCGCAAGGCCGTGGGTGGCAGATGTAGTCTCCATGACTCACCATTGGAGGTAGTGGACAAACTTGGGCAAATGAACAAAGAAAAAAGAAGAAAGACATTCATTCCAGCAACCCACCGCTGCGTAGTTTCTCTGTGTCAAAATGCACATGGCACACACTTCAGGCTCCCTTTAGTTTTGGGTTTCTCTGGGGTACCAGACCAGCAGCAGATGGATGCACACGTCTCCTGCATGGCAACATGTGCTGCGAGGTCAATTTTGGCTCTCAGTGAGCTCTGCTGTCACCAGCTTATTTAAAGGCATGAGAGATGGGATCTGGGAAGCTTCCCATCCTCTTGGGGAAGGGGAGGGAGAGAGTAAGACAAAAGGGTACGCATACACCTATAAGACGTACATGGGGACGGAGAGGGGAAGCCAAAGCAAGAGAGAGAATTCCTTTCCTTATGAAGCATCTCAAATTCAGCTGTAACATCCTATTTTTTGTTTTATTAACGCAATTAAAATGGTTATATGCACTCATTCCTAAATATTTTCTTTAAAAAATAAATTTGTCATGAACTGTGCTGCAGGAGATGCACAGCACACAGTGTTGCTTAAGCACTTACAGTCTGTACCTCTGTAATATTATTAAGCTTAAACTCTCCTGGTGTTATTTGTGTTTTGCAATCTCTGAATAGGCTTCCTGATCTCAGTGGGACTGCTGGTGGAGTGAGGTCTTAAGTATAATAGAGGCTGAGACTGTGTTAATTATGTACAGTGGTTTACGTAAGGTTAGGTAAATAAGAGAGAATTGCAATATAAACATGAGGAACTTTTACTGTAGGCCTGGAAACAAGAAGAAATGTCTTCTCACATGGCTAGGCAGATGAACTCAGTGGAGAACCGAGGGAGCACTCTCTAGAAAACAGCAGCAAGAAGGCAACTCGCAAGCAGTATTTTTATAAGAGAGGAAACTTTTCCACTGAGTAAGTGTTAGTTGATTACTATTTTCTTAAGTGCTTCTAGGGCAGACTTAAAAAAACACCCTACAAAGTGTAATGATATCTCCACTGGCTACATACTGACTCAAAGGGGCTTGAAGTACTGGATGGCTTGTTTTATGTCCCTTCAGGGGCAGTAACTAACTGGCTCAGTGCCCCATCATCTGCAGGCTATTCCCTCCACTTCATGCCTCCCTCATTCAGACAAGACCTACTGCATTGCTTTAAATAATGAAAATGCCATCTCTCAGAAGAAGAATCTTTCCAGAAATTACAATTCAGTTGCTTCTCTCTGTGCATCTTCTTCCATGAATAATGCATTTCATAAAAAAAAAAAATACCCACAAGATATTAAATGAATCTTCAAGAGAGGCTGATTACAATGTGCAGCAATGTCTACTCCCCATCCCTTGGAGACATGGCTTTGTTTGCATTTTCACTGGCAAGGCTTAATAATAACTTAGAATAAGAGCAAGTAATTCACCTAAAAATTCACAGCCTTAATACTCTGCATATTTCCAAAAGTCTCTGGGCCCACAAGAAAGAGGAATGCTTTACTGGGAAGTCAACTCAAGATTGAAAACAATCTAGGCAAAGGTGTCAGATTGACATAGTAGGAAAGCACCTTCTGTCCATATCAGGGATCATTCTTCTATTAAAAAGAAAACAATCAGTGAAAGCAACAATTCTGGCCTGCTATAAGGAAACTAGGTATATTTTTATTGCCTACACTTAGAACATGAGAACAAAGGAAGACAGCAATTTAAGCTTCTTTGCAACTGAGTTTTGCCAAGCTACAGCAGGCTGCAAGAGGTGTGTAGATGCCCAGTACCTTTCTAGCAACAAGCAAGTAGAGCACACCTTATCACAAAGAGCAACACTCAGAGAAACAGATTTTCCTCTCCAACAACGTATCTGCTGCTTCATCCCAAATCTTCTAATGTCATTTAGAGCCAAAGCAGCTGCTGAACAAAAAGAAGCCTCAAAGCTGGTGTCCCAGCAATGTGGATCAGCTCAGGAAGCACACATTTCCAGGCATATTAGAAATGATACTTTATGGGAACAACCCAGATTTGAGCTGTCAGTCTGCTTACAAATGGACACGTATTCTATAAAACCTGAAAACAAGAGCATCATTCTGTGTAGGATATGTCCCCAGTGCTATAAAAGAGTGCAGCCCCTTCCACTGCCACTCACTTGGGGTATCCTCTCAGTACCTCCTCTGAATGTTATGTTCATCCAGTTTCAGGATCCCTCCACGTTTCAGCCTGGAAATGTCTGCAGACATTTATTTCATGCACTGCTGAGCATTAGTCATGAATTAAGAGTCAAGTTTTAAGCAGTCATACCTGCCAACAGCTCTTGTATTAAACCAGTAGATGCAATGCAGCAGGTCTGAAAACCAGGTTGTTTAGCTCAACTGAAACAATGCTTCATTCTTATGTCATCTGGACTGTCAGAGTCAGGGATTCTCACTCACTTGGGGTATCCCTCACCACCTCCTCTGAACTTTATGTTCATCCAGTTTCAGGATCCCTTGACATGTGCATGGGCAAACCGGCCCCCACATGGGGGATCACTAATGCTCATGTTTGTAGCGTCTTTTTCCAAATCAAGTCAAATGAGATACATTGCAAACAACCAAAAATGAACTTACTTTGAGCTCAGGGCACTTAGTTGTACATCCAGCCCCTTTCTCAACTTGCTCTATTCCCATGGTCATCCTGGCCCACGGTCCTCTAAAGTTAGTGGAAGGACAGCCGGGAAGTGGCCTTAGTTTTGATCCCAGAAATGCAAGATTATGAGAATCTGGAGGGCCACTGAACACTCTGGGCTCCCAAAGACAGATCTTTAGTGCAGAGCTACTTGTCTTACAGGGTCTGATCCCTTATTTATGCTGGATACCAGTCTATGATACTGGTTACACAGATTAAAGCAATGTGCCAGGTCAAATATGGAGGAAAACTCAGGTGGCAAACCTCAGCCCACTGCAGTTCTCCAGGACAGTTAAAATTCTAGCATTCCCAGCATATTGTATTTGGAAATTACAGGCCATGGACTTCAGACAATTTCATCAAACTCACAGAATGAAAATAGCCACAAACTGATTAAAATAAAAGTGTGTCTGACAAGTACATTTTCACTGTCAAAGCTGACAGCAGAATGAATGATAAATAATCACAGGAACAAGTGAACGGTACTTCAGGAAGCTCTTACAGCTTAAAAAAAAACCCTCCTACATGACACATTTTGGTTCTTAAATATGACACCAAATCTCTACTACCAATACTTTTCAGCATCTTCACTTTGTAAGGCCTCTTGGGACTTCAATGCACTAATCACAACATCCAGCAGTATCTTCTGACAACCAGCATTAAAAAACTATATGCATATGTGTTTAACTTTGGAGCTTGTCAGAGGGATGGGGCACAATTCAGGCAGTTTCTGCTGGTGGTTCTGCAGCACGTGATCCTGCGTCTCCAGATCCATCGTTGTAGAGCAAGTCGCCACAGACTGTAAGGGGACTTTACAGGAACTTTACAGCTCAGCATTCTTGGCTGAAAAGCTGAATTGTTCATCAAGAAGAAAGGACAAATGTGTTTTCTATGGTAAACAAATCTAGTTGGAACTAGTTCTAGCTTTGACAAACACCATCTTGGTGAAAATTGCGATCACTGACACCAGCTGCATAAGCCTAAATAAACCAGTATAAAACTAGTTCCAACCCTATTTTAACAACAGAAAGTGATTTATAATCACTTATCGTACACAGAGCTTCCTTGTTACTGAAGTTACAGAGCCTGTTTTGCAGTTCCAGTCAGCTGAGCTCCTACAGGAGCATCTCACCAAATTCACATGCATCCTCAATCCTGCCATTCCAGGCACAGCAACCTGTAAAACACTGATCTTAATGTAAAGTCTTTAGTTTCAAATGCAGTTCACAGCAGATATGGGGTAAAACACACCCCAAGAGATCTTTTGCCTGTAAATTTTAGAAGTGCATTTTCATTTAAACTACAAAAAGAATTATTATGAGCTTGCAGCAGTAGAGAGCTGTAAGTTATTTTAGCAGGAGGACCATCTTTAAGGAAGTATTTATGCTCATTATTCACAAGCAAGTGCTTAGACCACTGTGGTCTCACAACAGATCATTTTAGGATTCTTCATCGCTTGTTTCTAGTTTTGTTTATTCCTTTTCTCATGAGTAGTTGACTTTCTGATCAGTAATGGTCCTTTAGGGCTTCAAGAAGCAGATGCTGGGGACTGCATAGACACATAACAGGAAGCAGAGAGCTTCAGAATAGTTCAAGGCTTGGGTATTTGACAAGTATCACAGGATAACTCCAGACCTGGAAAAGGTCAAACTGCTTAGAAGTAGAATGAAAGTGGAGGATGGAGAGAGAGCTGTTGAGAAGCTGGCTAAAAAAAACCCAGACAGATAAAAGCCTGTCCGAGATGTCTGAAGAAGCCAGTGCTCACTGTGAGCTGGACGTATCAGTGGGTTTATGTAATTTTAATTCCTCTTTCTTTAATAGTTTTTTACTCTTTGTTTCTAAGTGAGAATCCCTTGAACCCATGTGGTGTCCCTGCCATGAGGGATTGACAGAGAGAAGGAATGCTGGAATAGACAAGCTGTATTCCAGCACTTAGCTGAAGGCTGAGGAAATCAAGCTATACGACTTAGGAGAAGGAAAAGCACAAGGTCTCATTCCCAATGGAGTGCTACTAGGAAAAAAAGCAGATGAGTTAAAACAGTAGGTGATCTTAGTGCTGTAATACCACAATCCAGTTTACAAGACTAGCAAGATGTGGAAGAGTATCCGTTTCTGTTACTGATGTTTAGTTATCAAGTGCCTGCCTACACCGATTGGTGAAACAGACACACTTTAAAATACTGGGGTTTATCTCTGGAAGAGAAAAAACCTATGCAGTGAATAGAATTGCTAACATATAGAGTCTGTAGCTACAGTTCGCTCCATTTATGGAAGATGTTCAGTGATTGCACCGTGTAGCCAAATTTAATGAATGTCTCCGTAAAGCAGAGAGATATTTGATTTCAAGATAGACAGTGTAGTGTGCTTT